TGCTGCAGAGAAGAGAGCATGCTGGGATGCTGGGGGACTCTGATTTAATTTAAACCAGCAAGGGGTCTAGGACAGACATTGCATAAACTGGTTTTGAGCCAAATCAGTTAAGTCTGATACTACTTTCAACCAGGTTTATGTCAAACTGGTTTCAGCCATTTTCAAACTGGTTTATGTGCACTGAACATCTGTTCTGTTACAGGTTTAAACCAGGTTCTGATCACTTAAACCAGTTTATGTGTAATGTATGTCCCTAGCCCTGGAGACACTGTGCATTGCAGGCAGCTACCAAAATGGCTGCCACTTGTGTTTGCTCAGCAAACCGAACAGGTGGAGTCTTGTGTTATCCTTCTTACAACCCTAAGTAGTGGCTGCATACTGTTGCTTGTCCTCAAAACAACAAGTGAGTTGTTGGTAGTATCTTAGTGAAGCCTGAGGTGTGGAAACACTGTATTTACAGGAACTTATGTAAAGAACTATTTACAGTAAAGAATTAACAGTCTTGCTACTGCACTTTGCAAGGGTCTGAAGCCTAATCATGTGTTACAAAGTCCTCCTGGGAAAATAGATTGTCTATCCCAGAAGGTAGTCTGCCACACCAGGAAGGTCCTGATGCCATACTTTCTAGAAACCCTATGTTCCCAAGAGGACTTGCTCTTTGGGCCCTGCTACATGTTCTAATCAATGCTGGATAGAAACAAGCGATACAGTTGTTACTCATTTTTAAACACTAACTGTGTAGCTGATTGTCTCTTTTTATATCTGCAGAGTTCTTTTTATGGTTCAATAATTACTTTGTGTGTATGACTGATTTTACTTTTTGCATGTGTGGCCAGTTTAACTTCATTGTGGGATTAAAAAGTTAATTGCATAATATATGCAAAGGGTAGTAGAGGTCTGTGGCACACAGACGGTCATAACTCTGGACAAATCTGCTTTTCCTATATTCTGCCTTCCAAAAACAAGGTGCATTTTATTTGGAGGTGTGCTTTATGCAAGAAAATAGAGTATGTGAGGGAACTGCCTGTCTGTCTGTCCTTCCTGTGTTGGTTTAAACAGTGTTATTTTCTTAAATAAGCACCAACATTTAAAAAAAATGTTTTTTCTAATCAGTAATTTTAGTCCATCTAATATTGCTGATGAGGGAGTGCTGTTTTTTTACATTGATTGGTCAAGCATATGGCAACATTACTCAGTTTTTTTCCTAACATGAAATATCAGATTGAAATTCTACTAATCTCTTGTAAATTAGATAAATCAGTTATTGTCACACTAAACTTGGGTAACATGGTTTACTCCGTAATTCTAATTAGATTCTTCTAATTAGATTTCCCTGACATCACTGTGCTACCCAACATAGCTTATTTAGAAATATCACTTATTTCAAGTCATGGATCTTTATATGATAACATTTGTGGCATTGTTTCTCAGATCAATCGGGGAATTGTTTTTATATAAGTTATCTGCATGTGACATTTGTTTTATCATCTTCCTGGGCTTTTCCTCACACAGATATACTTTTATTCTTTCCAAATGTGACTCTTAAGAGATATATTCTCATCTGAATGAGGAGAATGATGCATACACATCCTTACATTTTGTGTGAAGAGAATTACATTCTTTCCCTTCAGAAATTGATTTTTTTCCTTTACACTGTCTTTCAAACAAATCAGATCTTTTTGGCAGTTTCCATTAGCAGATAAACAAACTACCTTTGCCGGACCTAGTTGAGTCCTAATTAAATATAGTTAAAAACACAAACAAACCCAGGAGTGGGCCAATCTCCTCTTGTATAAATGGATAGAGTTCCACTAACTTCAATGGAGATGTGTCCATTTATGCCAGAAGAGATTTATCTCAGTGGGCATGTCTACATGTGATGCTACATCTCCTTAGTGACACGGTATGGCAACATAGCGTCGAAAGGCACAAACCATGACACTGATGCTATGTCGCCATAGTGACAAGCTACCTCACTATAGTGCAAGGTGCTATGGTGAGGTAGCTGCTAAAAATAATCATGCATTGCTGGGATGGTGCAGTAATGGGTATTACTGAGCTGTCATTTAGTACTTCCTAAAGCAAGTACTAAATGATGGTGTAGTAACAACTCCCCCATAGGGGGCACGTGTAGGTGTGCCCAGTATGTTACATAGACATGAAAGAAAACTACCTGATTTTGTTGCTCGGATCCTGATCCATAAGTTAGTGCAGTTACATTGCCTGAACTCAGAATGCTGGTATACTATTAATTTTAATTTACTTTTACATGCCAGTTTATTAAGTGTTCTTAAAGATGAATCAGTGTTTAATTCAGACCTCAATTCATACTTCTATTACTAAGAATAAAGATTTTATCACTGATTGACATATTTTGGTCCACGCTGTTACTTTAGCAATCCAAGGGACATCCTTCATGGTATTTCAAATTCTGTATCTTTTGAATTGCCTGTTAGAAACTGACCAGGTTCTTCAAAGTAGGCTGGCATGGCCAGTTGATTCCAGGAATAGTCAGAGTTTTCTTTTTTGTTCAGTAAATGTATAGTCGTACAAAAAAAAAAGTAAATATAAATATTTAATTCCATACAGGGGGGCACTGATGAGCAAAAGGAAACATATCACAGCGGAATGCAGACACTAACTATCCTGTAGCACCAAACACTTTCATGAGGGATAATGTTCATATCTTGTTTCACTCTATGCTGGCAGACACTGCATTACAAGATTTCAGCAAGTGAATATGTATGTTGCAAAGTTTTCAGAGTCTCTGTCTTATCTGAAGTGTCTTAAATTTGATGTAGTTTTTCAGAATTCATTAATATCATGAACCTAAAATCCTTAGGGGGGTTCATGGGATGCCCTGCATGGTTCTGGTTTTTTTTGAGTCTGTTTTACTGATATGGCATGTGTAGTTTCTTTGTATAGGTAGTGCCAAACAATAATTAGCATTATCATTATAATGCCTCCATGAACTGTGGTATTTGACACACATATAATTTGATAAATCTTTATATTTGAGCCAAGACTGTTTAGTGGGGCAGTGATTACCTTAAGCGTTCCTCATCTACTCACACTTGGAAGAGGTAATTGTGGAGAATTAACATTTGACGTGGATTTGTTTACTTATCACCCTTACAGACTTGCTTTGAACACAGCCCTTCTAGACAATAGACAATAACAAATTCACATTTTAGAAGAAGGCTGTATGACTATAACCTGGCTATTCAGGCTATGGGCAAGGAAGAAAGGGTGGGGAACATTTTTCAGAGTGGGGAAATTACGTGAACACTGGTTTTGTAATCTTCATGTTGAAAAGGATATATATATATATTCTCCTGGTCTTAATTAGGTCAGGAAAGACTTCTAGTCTGGTAAACATACACTTTTGGAGGGGGGGCAGGAAGTTATATATGTATAGTGTGGGCTTCCCAAAAATCCAATGAATGAGATGTAAATGGACAGATAAAAAACTATACTCAAGCATTACCAAGAGAGCAGATTGAGGTCTTTAGTTTTTTTCCCCCTGGACATAGGGAAACATTGGACTCACTGGAGTCCCTCAGCTAGTGAGCTGAGTACAAATCACATTCTTGGCTTTAAGATGCAGAGTAAGAACAGGTTTTTGTTCTGATATTTTCTTTTGTTTGACTGTTCGTGTATCTCTGTTTCAACATATGGTTACTGACTTCTTATGTTTTCTCTTATCTTTTTGTTATAATTTTTTTATTGTCAAATGTGATATCAGAGGTATTTGACCATATACGCAAGACTTTTCTCTGGAAGATATGGGTCCATATTTCCTGAGTATGCATGCCTGGACAAAGGTGTGATTCTTTTAGCTGGCAAAATCCCCTCTGCTAGGGGCTGGCAAGACCTGGGAAAGATGGGTAAGGCTGAGGCACCACAGGCCAAGGAATTAGCCCCTGGCACATCCCCTGGTTAAGCAGCAGAGAGCAGAGAGGGGTTTGGGGCAGAAAAGCACCCCTGGATGTTGTGAGAACACCCCAGAAGTGTCACAAAGGTACCCCTGGCCGCATTCAGCCCCAGCACATCACACACACATTTTTTTATTTGTGCAAAAGGAAAACAAGCAGATTAAAAATGAATGGAAGATCATAAATAAAATGTCTTTGCACAGCAATTTTCCCACTACTGTGACTATGTATTATTTCAAATGAGGAAAATAAAAGGTAGCAAGAGATCTTGCAAACATGTCCCATTATATTTGTGAAATTATGGTAAACTCCTCTGTGTCTGATGAGAAAATAAAAGAAATCTGTTGAAAACCTAAGATGAGATAGGAGAAAATGGCTAAATTTAAAGCAGCACCTTGTGGGTTAGGTAATTTGCCAATCTCCAAATCATTCCAGCCAGCACTGATCAAGATTCTAGGAACAGTCTATAATTTTAGTTTAGAAGGTGCTATTCTGGGCTAGAGACAGAAATTACACCTAAACAGGTATAAATGATCAGAAACCAGTTCAAATCTATAACACAACAGAAGTTCAGTGGGTATAAACTGCTTTCAAAATGGCTAAAAAAGGTTTAAGATAAACCTGGATGAGTGTAGCACCAGACTTAACTGATTCAGGTTAAATCAGTTTATTTAACTTCTGTCCCAGTCTCCCTCTACATTCAAGTTAACTCACAGTCCCCCAGCTTCCCAGGATGCTTTATACCTCCCCTGCAAACCTCCCCTCACAAGGTGGGCAGGACAGCCTTGGCCCAAGCTGTCTGCTCCAACCAAGCAGGAAGGCATGCTCTAACACCCCTCAGCTTCTGGCATTGGCCACTGCAAGCATGTGGCTGCATTTCTAGAATTAAAAGTGAATGTCTGGTCACTTGTTTATTGGTTCAATCTACGTAGCTTAAACTAACCTGAGAAGACTGAATTGATTCAGCCTTGGGCTTTTTGATTCTTTGTACTTAGCCTTGTAGACTGACTAATGACATTAGGCAAGTGACAGAATTAGTGATGTATCAGAACATCTTTGACTCACCTCAATAAAGAAGAGACTAGCTGCTGATGTCGGATGATGGTACATATAGGCAGTCACCAGGATGGCTGCTGCTACAATGAGGACCAGTATTAGAATTCCAACAATTAAACCAGCATGAAGAGTTCCACCTTTCTTTTCTGCAGCGCTATCATCTGTAGAGGCTGCAAGAATACCATACTTATTAGCATAATGACTTTTCATCCCATTCATTATATTTCACAATCATCTACAATAAATTCAGCTGATAACTGAACATTTGCTTTCTCTGTACTACGTTTTCCTAATATTTTCAACAGCCCAAGTTTCTAAAAGAGATTACATCTTTCTTTTCCACACAACCACACACTTACATAATATTAATGAAAGAGATTTCCAAATGTTTTATTATTTCTATTTCAATTAAAAAAAATAATATCCTGCTTTCTGAAAGTAATTTGGACATTCTAAAGTTCCTAATTATCTATGTAATGAATCTGACTTTGATTTTCCCATAATACAATCACTGTTGCCCTACAGACATCAAGTATTAATTGAATACCCTTTGAAAGCTGTATTTTGTCATCTTTTTTTAATGCAAGCCATGTTGAGGGATGTCACAAACCTTGGTGAGGGCTAGCTAATTAACACATTCTGAAAGCCTGATCATTTGCTTACGCTTAGAGAATGGTATCCAAAAACCCTATGCAACAGAATCACATTGCAAAATTATAACAGATGGACATTAGATGGCCCTGAAATACCTTTAGCACATACCATATCAGAGTACTGCTTAAGACCATAATTTTTCCAATCTTTATGCTGATAGGATTTTTTTTTGGTATTATCTGCCATGGAACATCTAGGTACACCCATATATGTGTAACCTAACACTGCCACCCACAAGTAAATCAGTCAATCAAAATCTGAATAACTGTATTGCTATTTGGATGAAAAAGCCTCATTAAATTATTTATCGTCAGTGGAACTGGCTGTACATATGTATGATTCCTTTTTTAGGTACCCCACAAAATTCTGGCAATTTCAAACACAGAAATCAAAGATAGGTTAGTTCAGTTTATTAGTGCACAAAAAGAGGACTATTGCTCTACCAGATACAACACTGTACATGGAAGAGAAATAACAAGAAGGGGGAGACAAGAGAATAATTTTGAAGTCCTGACTGTAGCATATACTACTGGAACCCTATTAATTTGCATACAAAAGCTTATATTAGTGCAGGTTTTTTAATCACCTCTGTGTCTTCTTCTAGATAAAACCTGTGCATGATCTTAACTTTCTGAACTTATCCATAGTTTCACAGTTTCATAGTTGGTAGGGTTGGAAGGGACCTGAGCAGATCAAGTGCGACCCCCTGCCGTGGCAGGAAAGAGTACTGGGGTCAAATGACCCTAGCAAAATGATTGTCTAGCCTTGTCTTAAAGCCCCACAGGGTAGGAGCCAGCACCACTTCGCTTGGAAGTTGGTTCCAGATCCTAGCCACCCTGACAGTGAAGTAGCACCTCATGATGTCTAGTCTGAATTTACCCTCTGCCAGCTTGTGACCATTATTTCTAATCACTCCTGGTAGAGCTTGGGGGAACAGGGACTCCCCCAATGCCTGCTGGTCTCCTCTGACTAGTTTGTGGATGGCCACTAGATCCCCTCTCAGCCTTCTCTTGTGGAGGCTGAACAGGTTCAGGTCCCTTAGCCTCTCTTAGTAGGGCCTGCCCTGCTGCCCCCTGATCATGCAAGTGGCTCTCCTTTGGACCCTCTCCATGTTGTCCACATGCCTCTTGAAGTGCGGCACCCAGAACTGTGAACCTAACAGTGCCTCTCCATTACACTTCTTGTAGCAGCCGGCACTTCCATTCTGCAGGGTCAAAGAGTAGATTAGCAACTGCAGTCTACCACCTTAAGTCTCTCTTCCACTTCCATAGCAATAAGTTCAAGAGAGCACAAGAACACACGAAGCCACACCCCACTGTGACCTTCTTATACCACACAGGCTTGAAGTTGGTCTTGGAAGTAAAATGAGAGAGCAAAAGAGCAGAAAAATACAAGAACAAAAGATCTGATAGTCAAAGAGAGGCAGAGAGTTCTGAGAGAATGAAATAAGTAGATGGAAAAACGTGCTGGGTTATAGTGGCCTGGAGGATTACTACATGTAGGAGGGTTACTACAATTGGGGGGTTCTAGAACAGAGGTGGGCAAATATTTGGGGTGGAGGGCCACTTAAGAAGTTTTGGTGAGATGTTGGAGGGTTAGGAGAAGGGGCAAACTGGCCCAATGCGGGGGTGCTGACCTGCCCTGGCACAGTTGTGGGGAGTGGGGGAATTTACCCTATCTGGCCTTGGCCCTATCCAGCCCTGCACCCACCACTGGGGGCACTGGATGGAGGGTATGGGTGGGGTCTCCATGAAAACCAGCCTGGGACCCCTGTGGGTAGGGTGTGCTCAACAAGGGAAATGGAATGGGGCTGTGGGCAGGTGGGGAGTAGCATTCAGTCGCAGGATGGGCAGGCATGGCCGGGATCATGAGGCAGTGAAAAGTGCCGTGCTGGGGCACACGGCAGAGCCATGATCTGCTCCTCACATGTCCCTGCAATGGGCACCAAATCAGTGGGCAGGGATGTGTGGGGAGTGGATCACAGCTCTGCCCCAGGCCACATCCCCTCACCGTCACTACCCCATGATCCCAGTGCTGGTCCCAGCCTGGCAGTGGGTACAGGGTGGACGGGCTGGGGTGCCTGGGCAGCAGGGTTGGGTCCAGTGGTGATGACAACACAGGTGGCAGCAGCTGGAAGAAGACACCGCTGCAGGGGCTGCCAGGAAGCTGAGTCCAGATACTGTGATTCCCCTGCTCCACCGCACATGCCATGGCCTGGGCTGCCCTCCATGCCTGGACTCGGTGGGGCCAAGGGACCCACCACAGGCCAGATAGAATCCCTTCGCAGGCTGGATCTGACCTGTGGGCTGTATTTTGTCCAACCCTGGTTTAGAAGCAAAAGAGACGTGGTGTTGCTTTAGCCATTTCAGCAGCTAATCGCTCTAGCAAATTTCTCAAACTGATCAGGACATAGGAGTTAAGCACATCTTTGCCTATACCTCCCGAGTGCCTTGATCCAGTAGGTATATTCAGAGTATACCTAACAGACTGCAATGGGATGTAACAGACTTTTCACAAAATACACAGGCAGTCACAGCTTCCTTTTATCACTTGTTGGTGACAAGGTCAGCTTGTTATATACAGATAATATGGTTAAAACATTTGTCAGGAAATGGAAGGGCAAGGGCCAATTCCCTCATCACACGGAAGGGATTCAAACCCATGTCTTCTACCAGAAAGCCCTAACTACCTAGCTGCAGACAATTTTGGATGGGGGCACTCTCAATCCCTCTTACTGAAGCTCGGCTATCGCACAGCCAAGCCTGCAGGATTTATTGAGAAAAGGGGGAGAGCGTGCATGACTCTGGAGACTGTTGACTACTGCCCTCATCTGAAAGTGGGGAGACCTGGGTTTTAGTTGCTGCTCCTGAGATAGCTTTCTATGGTTTTACACAGATTGTTCATTGGATAAAATACAGAAACATTCCTCCTATTAGGGAACTAGAAACTGTCTTCTCTTCCCAAACCTTATACCCCAATCAATAGGCAATTTTGTAATGGGGCCCCTGACCCATTACTGAAAAGAGGGAGGGAGCCCAGCCCCTGGGTACAGACTTAACAGTAAAAAGAGACCTAAATAAGATGGCCACCTGGCACAAGTGTAAGCAGTGACTGGCAGGACTAGGATGGAATTAGGGGGTCACGTGACTGACAGAGAGGCTCAAAAGCCCAAGGCTTAGCCCAGGAGAGGCAGTCTGGATACAGGAGCTGCCAAAGAAGGAGTCCCAGGGGGAAGCCAGTCTGGACTACCTGGAGGAAAGAACTGCCCACAGAAGGGTGGAAAAGACCCTGTGCTGTGAGTGACACAAGATAAGTACTTTAAACCTTTTGCATTTGTGGTACCCTGAGGCACAGGCGACTGATAGGGAGGGCACAGTGGGGCATGTGCCCCCCTTGAGACAGTCCCCCAAAGGTGGGGCAGTTTTTTTGCTGCAGTTTTTTTTCCTGTGCAGGCTGGT